CATTTTTCCTTGTGAAACAAATGTTTTTATATTCTGTACTAAAATTGGTGCATATCCTTTTTTTTATACCATTGTGTAAAATGACTTAGGTGTCCTAACAATATTACATTTCTATGGTACTCATCACTATATCATCTGAGTACATCACACTATATCTCCTCAATATATGTTCCATTCTATATGCATCCGAAGAAGTGGGCTATAGTCCACGAAAGCTTATGCTCTAATAAATTTGTTAGTCTCTAAGGTGCCACAAGTCCTCCTGTTCTTCTTTTTGCGGATACAGACTAACACGGCTGCTACTCTGAAACTATTGATACATAAAATTACAGCTAGGAAGGTAGAACTCGCCTTACTTATTGAATTAAGCCAGTTTCCTAGTAACAAGGGCTGGTGTTTGCTTCTGCACTGAGTTGTGATGTGGTGGTTTGGGGAAATGCTTATTTAAATGAACCATGCAGCATGTTTTTAAGATAGAAAAATTAATTCTGGGCTTGATCTCTTATGAAAGTCTGATACACGATTGCAGTCTATTATTGTGAAATTGTGACACTGACTGCCGAGAGCCCAAGACAAGCAATAGTAAACTAGTTTCCAACCTGTCTTAACTTCAGTTCAATGGCCTGAGGAAAGAAGTGAATATTTTTAAACATTGTATATGTATATATTGGAAACAGGTTTACATTTTTGGCTCTGTAATTTTGGCAGTGTCCAAGGTGACAGTTTCTATAGCACGATACCAGTTTCCAGCACTATGCTCAGAAATAGTAATTGTAACTAAAACTTTTTTAGGTGGGGTGAGAAATGCTTCTTAGCCTGTGAACTTTCATACTGCCAGGCTGAACAAACTGGATGCAGTTTTCCTTTAAGTAATGGATTATTTTAACAAAGGGGAGATATCTCTCTCTCCTCCACAGCAACTGTAAAATAACCGTAGATCTTCGGTGCAAAAGTGTAATAAAAAGGGAAGATGCACTAGTTTAAATGGTAGGAACCCACAGTCACCCCCAGTAGTATAATCACACTAATTAATAATGATGACCTAATATCTACTCTAGCGTTTATAATCTAATTTTGCTATTTTGTTTGCACCAGGGGATGGAGTCTAACTGAAAGAAACATGAACTTCTTGGAGGGTGTAGAAAGGGAATAAACATGCTAAATGCCATTGTCACTTTTTAGCATAGTACTTGGTAGGAAGTTTAAAGATATTTTTAATTAATTTGTTCTTCCTGTGCCTTCATTTTCTAGGTAGACTATGATAATCATGCACTTTATAAACATGGAAAGACAGGACGTAAACAGTCTCCTGTTCGTATTTTCACCAACATTTCCCCAAGTATGATAGTACTTCCTGTGGAAGAGGGTTACAGGTAAGATATAAAAGGATTTGCTTACAGTACATGCTCAAGTGACTCCAGCCAATATTTAAAAACAAAAAAACAAAAACAAAAAAAATTGATTATTCCATAGCTTGATAGTGAGATTTTAGATGTACCAAACTAAATTTGTATTCCTCATGCAACTTTTTGTTGAATTGATCCATTGATAAAGTCTTTGAGCAAACAGCAGACCAATGCTTTTGTAACTGCTTTTTTCAGGTTTTGCTCTGTGTGTCAGCGATATGTTAGTTCAGGGAACCAGCACTGTGAGATCTGCAATTCATGTACGTCAAAAGTAAGTCCCTCTTTCTGGAAAGGAATTTTAGCAATTGTAAAGTGATGTATTTGCATACTTTTGTCTTGTTATAAACCTGTTCTCATATTGACAGTATATCTTTCGTGGCAGGGAGCTCAGTATGGGAGGCTTTCTATTGATTTGGGCTATAGATCAGGTTCTGTCTCCATTTCCTGATTGATTTGGGTTGGAAGGAGAACACCAGAAGTTTACACATTTGCCCTTCACCCTCATGACCCCATCCATCAAAAACATGCTGCCATGTACCATTTTTTCCTATGTTTGGAAAGGTGGAACAATATGCTGCCCTTTAAGGCATATCATTACTGCTAACAGTTGCCAAGGGATGCTCAGGATCTGTGTTTTCAGGGTATCTGTGTATACCACCTATGTACACATATATGCCATATTTTTGAAATATTTCAGTGATGTTTGCCAGGAAGACTGGGAGTACAGTACAGTTTAAAATTATAGTACATATTTCATTAGTAACGTTTGAAAATGTTTTTGTTTAAAATTAACAAATTACTTACAAAATCTTTTTTGTAGGATGGAAGGCGATGGAATCATTGCTTTCTTTGCAAAAAATGTGTAAAGCCCTGTAAGTACAGAAAATTATTTTTCTAAGTAATACAAGCACACTTATTATATAAGTTATAGTCCAAAGAAGTCAAAACAAAAACTAGAAATGAAAATAGTATACTATAAAAGACCTAATGATTCAGTGCAAAAATACCAAACAAACCAAAAAAACCAACTTCCATAGACAGCCCCCAAAATTCAGCTTGTCAGGGTGGATTTCAGCTGTGCGAAAACATATCTTTTTGTTGTTGAATCAAGGCACAGTAAATTCTTCTGTATTAGTTGTAGAAGAATTTAAATAGTCTGATTCCTGTTTATTGTAGAATCATGAAGAAATTCTTATATAGCTTTCTCAGCTGAATTCTATAAACATATATAGATGGTTCTTAAAACACCTGGCAGGGAGTGGGGACTAAGTTATCATTTCAGATAGATGAAAGCAACTCTCATTTGGAGCTGTCTGTGCATACATAGGAATCGTTTATCAATTTAGAGCCAAAGCTTCTTGGTTACTTTAACTACTATTTCATATTTCCAAGATTAAGACCGTCATCCCTGTGATGAACTTAGTAGTACAGTATAGTACTACTACATCAGAACAGTTTTATCAATTTATTGTATTTACTAAAAGAAAAGCAATGAATTTATGGGGAAGTCCCGGGTTCCTTTTTTCTTTTCTCCCAGCACGTTTAGTGAAAACAAAAAAATGGCTGGTGAAATAGAAACTAAATGTAAACCTTAAAATACCTTTTTTTAATTACAAGTAATTAACTTCTTGATGATAGAATCATATTTCAGTTTTAATATATGAGTTTGTGAGTTTTGTAATATATAAGTTTGTAACTTTTCAAAATCATAAATCCCTGTTTACTTATTTTTCAGCTTGGATTCACTGCAACACTTGCAATCGCTGTGCTCTTCCAGGTCACACTTGTGAGAGTGCTAAAGCTGGCTGCTTTATTTGTGGTGGAGCAGGTCACAAACGCAGCACCTGTCCTAATCTTTCTGTGACTGAAAGAGCTGGCAAGTAAGTTTGACACTGCACCTCTGAATTGTGGGACATTATTTCATGAAAATGATTTGATAGAAGTAGGGAAACAGTTGCTCAGTAACCTCAAATTGTCTGTGATAGTGAATAAATTGAGGAAGTTTTGAGGGTTTTTTCATTTCACATGATGTTTGCTGCTTGCATCCTTTTTGACTTTGGCCAAGTCATTTAATCTCTGTCTCAGCCTTGTCTATAAAAAGGAGATACTACTACTTCAAGTGTTTGTCCAAATGAATTGCCTCATGGACGTGGGATCATATTTTGGCCAACAGTGTCCATTGGGACTGCACGTGTGCCCTGTTGAGCCCCTCACTTAATTTATTTGACTAACTGACCTTTTGAGACATAGACTCTGCCTATTTTGATCACGTGCTGGGTCTTAAAGAAGCTTAGGAGACCCATGACTGTGGCATAATGTCTTGGGTACCAGACCACTGGCTGAGTGAGACTTAGCTATCTACACTTTGAGCTGAGGGTATAATTCCCAGCTCAAGGAGACATACTTGCACTAACACTGATTGAGCTAGTGCACCATTGGAGATGCTAGGCAAGAACTTGGCACAGCTAGCTGCTCACAATGCCACAGCTTCATTTTATTTTTAGTGTGCTAGCGTGATCAGAGTTAGCATATGTCTCCTCAAGCTGGGACTCGCACCCCGAGCTAAAGTGTAGATGTGACCTTTGAAGAGACAGGAGCTTCTTTCTAGAGAGTTTGAGTCTCTCACATGGAGCACTCTAACAAAAACAATTTAAAATAGATGTGTCTGGCCTTTTGTGGGTGTGTTTTTAAAAAAGAGCTGCATATTGAGCATATTCCAGGCACATATCCCTCTCTAAGGTAATAAAGGCACTTTAATATGCCCATCATTGAAGGGCCTCACAGACCAGAAAAGTTTCTAAGTCTGGAAACTTAGACTCAATCATAGTCACTGCTGTAGCACCAAGGTAACTACTAAAAAAGTGGGGAAAGATTTTAATTTGCCAACAAGCTTAACTAGCTACTAAATAATATAACACTAAGTAGAGCTAACACTAAACAATAAGAGAAGATACAGCAGTGGTTCTCAAACTTTTGTACTGGTGACCCCTTTCACATAGCAAGCCTCTGAATATGACCTCCTCTCCCCTTTATAAATTAAAAAACATTGTTTTGTATATTTAACACTATTATAAATGCTGGCGACAAAGCAGGGTTTGGGGTGGAGGCTGACACCTTGCGACCCACCCCCCCCCATGTAATAACCTCACAACCCCCTGCGGGGTCCCGACCCCCAGTTTGAGAACCCCTGAGATACGGCTACAAGGATACTTGTGTTCCATCTTACTGCCATGGGTGGTAAGAAGGAACTGAGTAGCAGTTGGGACTGTGCTGCTTTTATGTACTTAGGTGAGGGACTCTAACTGGATGGCTCCATGGTCACCAGTTGGCCAAAATAATATGATTTTGTGTACATGGGGTTCATATTCACCTAGAGATGTTTTGGCCACATGGATCCTGCTCTCAGAACCACAATTACTGTAAGGTTTTAGTTTTTTGAGGTTAAATCCATTATTTTTTGTCCTAAGCAGAAGAACCCAGATGACCATAATAAGATCATGCAGTTACTCAAGTTCAGTAAGGCATGTGCACATATTAGTGGGTGAGGTAGTGTTTTAATCTTTCCTTTTTATAGGTGAGATGGCAGAAATTGTGGTTCTAAGAGTAGAAGCCTCTGTATATACAGCCCAAAAACTGTATTAGCATTTTGTGTCCATACCACATCAGCTCAGGTGTAATTGCGGTCTATTATCAATGCAAGGCTTAGCCCAGCATTTCTGTTTTCCAATAATTCTAATTATGGAATAATGTATAGCCAAAATGTAAGGAAATCCTCATTCATAATTTTTTCCTAAAATATTTTTCCTCAAAGAAGTAAAATCTACATGAAAATAAGTCTGACCTTGCTTTTCCATGAAACTTTGCATGCCTGCAGGTTTTGGTGAGACCAAAGACATATCTTACTGGAATACTGTAGTTCTTACAGACCATTGGTTTTTATTATTCTCCACATATTTCTAGTGCATTGAATTGTTGGATTAACAATGTTCCTTTGCTAGTTAATGTAAACACCTGCAAATGTATGTAATTGTTAGTACAAAGATTGTGTAGTTTTTAGTTGATAGCATGTTGCATGCCCATGACCGATGGAAAAGAATCCACTTGTTAATTATTTAGGTTTTAATTCCTGTATTCTATACAGATTCTTATGTTTGTTAAACTTTGTGCAATTTCTTCAATAGTAAAGCGAGCAGAGCAGTTCAGTATTGAACATGCAATGTCAACAATTGCCATGTTTTATATTTGATCTATGATCATATATATACTTTTAAAAGTTTATAAGCATTTGGGTCTAAAATTACAATACCGAGTAAAGATATCTATCTATCTATCTATATAAAATAAACTTATCACTGGGGAGGTGAATTAGAATCTCACAAATCCAATTTCAAAGAAAATTTTCCTTTAATAGCTGTTTTTGAGATCATACTTCCGAGGTTTTGCTCATGAACAGTCCAGAACTTTTATTTATGTATTTGTTTACTACAATGTACAATTCACTGTACTTTGATAGCATGTAGTAATGGGTTTGTCTGCCTCTTTGTTTTCCAGAGCTGACAGAAATCAGAAGCTAAAGAAGAACAAAAGATAAAAATGGATACAGTTAAAAGGCCATATGTGAAGCATGCTACATTCTCAAGGAAAAAAATCAAGAACAAGAAAAAGAAAAACACTCTTGCCTGTTAATCTTCATTTACCTAAAACTGTGAATGATTTTACAGCCAACTTTTGCTTTTCTGTACATGTTTGTTAATATGAACTTTCAGATAAAATCTGGTTGAATTAAAAATTACTACTTGTAATTAGCAATAGGACAAAACTGCTATACAAGCTGCTGTTTCAGTTTGTAAACGTTTTCAAATGGGAAATAGAAATCAGTGTATATACACTGTAAAACATGTCTGTGTTAAAATAAAAAGTGGAATAATATTATACAGGACTATTAAGTTAAAGGGACAGGAATTTTAATAGCTTTCAGTTAACTTGGTATTGACCTTATAAAACAAAACATAATTTTTTGTCCTTTTTTCAAACATTTCCACCCAACTCTTACACTGTCTCAGCACCATGCACTGGGGCCATCTAACAGCCTTTTGTTGTTTATCTAGTGGTATGTTGATTGTATCACTGCAGTAATGGAAACCAATGCTTTATAATTTCTAGATAAGTAGACGTATGTAATTTTTAAATTTTAGCCACAGTGGGGACATTGTAGACAACAAAAATACAGAGGCTGTTCCTCTCCAGCTGTTACAATATTTTTAGTAGGATTTTAGTGATAAACTTAACAATAGATTTATAGATTCTAAGGTTAGGGACCATTGTGATCTTCTAGCCTGACCCCTATAGCACAGGCTATAGAACTTCCCCAAAATAATTCCTAGACAAGTGCCCCTTGTTACAATATTTTTAAATAAGGGATTTTTTAAATAAATAAACTTAAATGTATAACCTCATTTACTAGCGGTGATGAGTCTCAAGTTCAAGGAAACTTGTACAAATTATTCTTGATACTGTGCTAGACATGAATATAACAAATTCAGAGGAAAATGAAATGAGCAATGCAATGGAAAATAAACTTTATAACTGTACTTGTTTGATTCAAGTAATTGATTTTCTATTTAGTATTAAATATCAAAGACATCATTGACAATTTTTTCACTGTGTCTGTCTTCTCCCATCTGCCAATACACAATTTCATTGTGCTACAGTGTGCAAAACAAAATCTTCCACAGGGATAATTTGTCAGGTTTATGAAATCTTGCAACAGAAGTTTCTCTGCTAATTTCAGACTCTGGTCATCTTGCTCTGTTTCTTGGACACGATGATTGAAACAGATGTAAGAGGGACATAGAAAACAGTCATAATTAGTGTGACTTTTTAAGGGTCACTAAATTTCATATTATATATGCTCAATTTATAGTTTTAAAAGATTGTGTTCTCTAATTGCTATTACTGCAAACTCCGTTAGGAATCTGAAAGTTAAGCTTTGTTTTTTCTCTCATCTGCACATCATAACCAGTATTAAAGGTCTGCAATTATAATACATCTATTGATGTGCAAACAAGAAGAAAAATGAATTTTACTTGCCCAGAGCTGTGCTAGTTCTGCAAGACTAAAAAGTACTAAATCATTATGGGGTTCAGAGTTGTCTGCTCTGTTTCTGTGCTTCCAAATAACATTATTTATTCAAACATTTTCTAATGTAGAAAATGATTGGGAGTAGAGGGGAAAGGAGGTTGTTTTTTCAGGTTGATCTGTAACGCTTATAGTACTGTAGAACTGTTGGACTGGAAGGGACTTCTAAGTCCAGTCCCCTGCATTCATGGCAGGACTAAGTATTATCTAGACCGGTAAGGAGTCTGGTGGCACCTTAAAGACTAACAGATTTATTTGGGCATAAGCTTTCGTGAGTAAAAACCTCACTTCGGATGCATCCGAAGAAGTGAGGTTTTTACTCACGAAAGCTTAT